AAAAAAAAATTTGAAAAAGTGTGAAAGACAAACCAATGGGTCACTTCCAAAAAAAAAAATTTGGTATAACGGTCACGTTACAAACGCAAATAATTTTTCACCTTATTTTTTTTGCTACAGAATATTCTGGTAATATAAAAAGTAGATTAATCTGACTATTATTTTAAAAAAAATAAAGTAAAAGAGAAGTAAAAAAAGTATCATGCATAACATGAAAATATTTCTTGATAGATTTGACGTAATACAACGATACTATCTGTCTTTGTCGATAGAGCTTTTTGTTTTCAATAGATTGCTTTCAAAACAAAAAATTGTTTAAACAGTTACATTTAAAGCAGAATCAAGATGTTTTCTCGTCATAGTAGAACAAGACCTGTGTTTTTGTAAAAAGTTCTATTAATAAAAAAGTTTACTGCTGGATGGAAACTGTGCCTAGGTATTTTTTTTTGCCAAGAGACTTGTTAAGAATGTTATGCTAAAAATTTCTCCTGTAAATTTTCTGTTAAAGTTGTTAAAAAACTTTTTTGCGCTACAACTGTTTTAAAGTCATTTTCAAAAAATAATGCTGATTTTTTCAAAAATCTTTGTTAGAATTTATCCTGAAATTAACAATTATTCACTAATATGTTCAGTGATGTTGAGAAAGAAAAAAGTGTCTAGAGTTAAGTCATTGGCAACTGAGGAACAGCAAAATTTGTTTGGTCAAGACAAAATATCAGAAGTAGCAAGAAAGCTCTGTTTTCTACAGAAATAGCGACGATGATAATGAGAATAAGAAACAGACAAAAAATTGAAGTGTTTTTTTAGGAATATTACAAAATCGGTGTAATTGATAGTTTTGAAACAGATGCACGTATCAAAGTAAATTTACATACATTATCTACAGTTTATGAAGCAATACAGTTTTTTCCTTGTTTATTTTTCCCATCACTTCTGATTATATTTGAAACTAATAAACTGTACCTTATTTGGTAGTTTGTTAAGCATTAGATTTATCAGCTGTTTTACATTTCATCTAATTTCTATGGCATAGTAAACATTCAATTTGGTATCATCTACCTCTATCTCCTTTTCCACTTTTATTTTTTCTTTATCTACTACAGTTATTTTATGACTGTTGCTTTTCTCTTGCCCAGTTAATTCTTGCTGCCTTTAGTTCATCAGTTCCTTTTTCTTTTTCTTTTTTTTACTGTTTCGATAGGTCTAATCAAATATAATCAGAACCTGTTAAATTAACATTGCAATTTGACTATAATTATTAGTTTTACTGTAATAAAGCGCGTGATTTCTTCAAAACAGCGCTAATACTTTTCCTTTTTTAGATGCGAATTATTCAGTAAAAAGTAAACTTATTTTATGTTCTATATTTCTCAAGTTTATTTCTTTTGCGTTTATTAGTAGCAAAAAAAAAAAATAAAAATAAAAATAAGCAGAAATAATATTGAAAAAGAAATATCAACAATTTTAGCAACTAAAAAAGTTTATCATTTAACAAGCTGAGCAGACAAATCAAAAAACTCTTTATTATTTGCAAAACAAAAATAGTCTTATTTAGATATTCTGCTTGTAGCAATGCAACTACAAACCA